TTCCCCAAGGCCTTGCTGGGTGCTCTGGGCTGGGCATCAGGACACCTGAATCTAGTCCCAGGTCCTACAGATGTCTCCTTGTATAAATTGGGCAGTCTATGCCTCCTGGGGCTTAGTTTGCTAAAGCGGAAATAATGCTGTGAGAATGTGTATTTAAAATGCCCAGTGTGGTGGAGGAGATACGGGGTTCAGGGGGCAGGCAGTGGTGGCTGACAGGATGGAGGGAGGGTCTTAGTCTGACTCAGCAGGCCCGTGTGGCTGGGAACATCTTGGGGGAGGCAGCCCTGTGGGTAGTGTGGTGACAGATAGTGCTTTAGCTGGGCTCTCATGTCTGACAGCCTGTGTGGTGGTCTTGAGACGAAGGGCAAGGCCGTCAGAGAACGTGACAGGCCCTCCCTTGTGGTTATAACACTTTAACATTAACACCCACACACTGAGCCTCTAGCGTGTCAGAGGCTCAGCAGGGCATTGCCCCATTTGATCTGCACAGCCCCACATCGCAGGTGGGGAAACTGAGGTGAGGTGACAAGCCTGAGATCCTTCAGTGATTTTGTGGCAAAGTGAGGATTTAAACTCAGCACCCTCTGCTCTGGGGCCCAAGCTATTTTCTGAGTCTCAATGAGAAGTGAGAAGGGAAGTGGTTACCTGATCTAGGGACAGCCCAAGCAAAGGTTAATGTCAGGGGCCTGGAGGGAGTCTGCTCCAGCAAAGTGACCCATCTCTGGCAGATCCCAGACACCAAGGGTTTGGTGGCTGATGACTGGGAAAACTCAGCAAATACAGCGACCCTCTCCACACAGGTTCTCATGCCACTCTACCTCCATAGGAGGTTCCCGCTGACCTAATTACTAGCACTCTACAGTAGAGTTCTGCCCAGGCTCAGTGAGCTGCTAGCACAACGGGGAGCTATGCCCAACAAGAGCGGCGCCCAGCTTCTGGAAGCCATTTGTGCCCCTGCTTTCTGTTAACCAACCCCTCAAGCTTTTACTAAGGCTTTGGAATCAGGCAGACCTGGGCCCCAGACACAAATATTCAATTTACGATGGGCCACAAGCAAATGACTCCACCTCTCTGAGCCTCGGCACCCAGCACAGTGCCTGGAAGACAGCAGGTAGACATGGTTGTATCTCTGCTCATCTCTTCCCCTTTTCCATCCCTCAGGGATCTTGCACCAAGATCCTTCAGTTGAACAAAGTGAAAATGGGGTGGGGTGGCGTGGGGAACAGGAATCTGGCCCACTCTGACATTTCTAGGACGCTCTGGGCCTGGCTCTGTGCTGAGCTGGGCTTTGCGGTAGTGGTGGGGTGGAGTTGTCATGGATGACTCAGAGCATATCACATTTTGGGGAAGACAGACTTAATCACAGACTACTCTGACCCAGACAGGATTTAGTCATAGCCAGACAGAGACACCGCAGGATGCTGAGGGGGCACAGGGACCAGCAAGTTACTCTGGCTGAGAATCTAGGTTGGCTCCTGGGGCAGGGAGTGCCTGAGCAGGGCCCCCAAGGATAGGGCAGAGGTAGGAGAGCAGTGAGGAAGGCGTGCTGAGTAGAGGGAATGGCTCATGCAAAGGCCCTGAGGTAGGAAGTATACAAATGGCATTTAGGGAGTAGAGGAGCTAGATGTAGCTGGAGAGCAGACCTGGCAGAAGGGGACATTGGGCTGGGCAAGGAGGT